CTACACCTATGAACATCTGTACAGCTGAAACAACTATTAGTGTCCAACCTAAAATGATGACCTATGGCTATCCTTGATTGTCCTAACAGGAACAGTATTTCAATCCATTAGGACCTGCAGTTTATTGCAGTTACTGATAACTGATCTGTTTTCTGGTCAGTGAGTTATTTAGATAGTTCTTCCTGAAAAGCTTTTTTACCTTTTATTTTCTGCTCACAAGAACATCTGCTAGCAGAAACAAAATTTTCAGGCAGAGTGAAGGCTGCCTGTTTTGTCCATTTAGACAAAATATGAGATTAGCAGAAGGAAGGCAGAGAATTCTTCTCCTTGCACCGCTGATAAGATTCACCAAGCCCAACGCATTCGGATATGCTTTTCAGGAAGCACCGAGAACAGGATGCTGAATTCAGCAGCCAGAGTCACAAGCAGTGAAAGCACAGGATTGCACAGTGAAAATACCTAGAAGTAGATAGAGCAGGTTTGTCTCTCAGGGAACTCTTCAACTCTCTGACTTTACTGAAAAATCCAGTGCACATCCTCTCCCCAGCACGTCACCTACTAATGCAATGATCCAGCTCATGTGGTTGCATGTGGATCCTGTTTAGATGAGAGCTATATCGAATGTGTGTGCATGAGAGCTTCAGCACAGCTGTAGGTTAATAGACAAGCAGGAGGAAGACTGCACGTGGAGCAGATGCAATGGTGTGTTTCAGACCTAAAGGGAGAGTGGGATAAAACAGGAGCTGGGCTATCAAGGAGTCAATGGTACAAGGCAATACAGCATGTTAGCAAGAGATAGAAAAGCAGCCCAGGGGACATGAATGGAGACAAACCCTGGGGCAGATTCTGTTCGTCTCTTTGGCAACGCACGTAGTGAAAAAGGCAGAGCTCATCTCTAGCAGGAGGATGGACAGTGAGGTAAAATCCTGCCAGGGAAGGGCATGTTAGGAAGTGGAGGATTTATTAGCTCATTTTTTAAAGCAATTTATTTTGCTTTTCAAGAGGCTCTTAAAAAAAAAAAAAAGCCAGTGAGTCAAGAAGCCCTAAATTAGCTAGGAAGGCACTTCAGGAAATCAAGGGCTTGATTATTCTGTGGTTTGCCATAGATTCAGGAGAAGACAGGAAATAAATATGCAGCAAATATTATACGGAAAGGCCCATTTGCAGTGGAAATGGGGCAGTGGGGAACATGACCATGGATCCTCATGGCTGCTGCTCCACCTTGTGAGTGTGTATGCTGTAAAGGGAAAACTTCAGCTCCCTTGAAACCTCCAGGAAACTTCATGTTGTGATACTGCCCTCAGAAGAAGTCTGAAATCTAGGCAACCTTGTCTGGGTGTACATGAAGGGAAAAAGCACTGGAAAAGGAGGTGCAGTCCCAGGTCCCTGACCTGCAGCACTGAACTGAAGTGGGGGTAAAAGCTAAGTGTGTGACAGCACAGTTAGAGAGTGCTGAGGACACCCGGGAATGTGTTGCCTCTACGTTTCTGCTGTGCTACAACCTTTGTGGGTGACCTTGAAAAATGAAGAAAGAAAGAAAGAGAGCCTTGGGAACGTAAGTGGGCTGGAGAGAGAGAGTGGAGACAATCCCTCAAAATGCTCACAACTCCCTGAAACCTCATCAATATTTCCCAGCCCCCCACTCCTGCGACGCCCCTGAAGCTGCCTGCTCTCCTCTCCCACTGCTGCCTCTTGTGTTGCCCAATCACTTGGACTTCTGCCAGCCTCTCTGTAAGCTTAAACTTCTTCCCTTGAGTCCCTTATTAATCCCTTCCAGCCTTTGGTGCCTATAGGCACCAAAAAGTTTGAAAACTCCACTCGATGCTCACTCACATCAGCCTTGTTCCAGCTGGATTTTGTCTTGTTGAGCTGGCTCAGGATATATCAACAAACAAGTCAGCTCACCTCTGGTCCAAGAGGGGTTTCACTGCAAACCAATGCAAGATTTTCTGTTTTTATCCCTAATCTCTTACTTTCCTGGGTGAAACTTGTATGCATGCTGACTCCTTTCACCTCTCCTCTTCCAGATCCTCTCTACATTGCAGCCATTCGCAAGAACCATGATAAGGTTAGGCTTTTACATTGCCACCAGTTTGATACCCCCAACTCTACTGAGCAAGAAATAAGCTTGGTTTTAAGTGCATGCCAAGTTATCTCTTCCCTTACCAGAACAAAGCTCATAAAAAGGAAATGTGAGGCATCCATGAGGGTGCTAGGAAGATATGGTGAGTAATAAGAAATGTTTGGAAGGAGATTTGAGAAGTGGATTTTACTCACTCCGTATATTGATAAAGGCTTATCATGTTCTTTTGCAAAACCACATGGTGAGACACTGTTTTTAAATGTTAATGCATCTTTAGAGAATAATCAGTAACGTTTGATGGCTTGCGCTAGCTCTAGGAGAAGCTTTGTTGTTTAAGAAAAGAAACAGCATTCATCTAGAGTTTCTTGTCATTACTGGATGGAAGAAAGGTTATTGCTTTAGTTAAAAAAAAAAAAAAGAACTGAATGATAAGCACTATAAAATACTTATCTTCCCCGATGTCTCTGGGATAATGTGAACTGAAAGGAAATGCTTATCTCAGCTGAAGGACAACTTTTGGTCACATGACTTCTTTTACAGAGCTAGGTTCTTTTAAGAATATGGGATAGAGGTAGAGGCACCTGTTTAAAACACTGAAATATACACCAGATGTAGTCCCCTTCCAAGTTCTGCTACTTGATAACCATGGGTAAGCCACACACAATCTTTTGTGCCTCAGCTTCTGCAATGGGACAATAATTGGTGTAATGGTATCACCAACATGAAAAGTAATTTTGACATCCCTACAAGTTACCGTATATGAGCGAGGTGTTGCATAATAATATATTTTAAAAACACAGCTTTTTGTTGTGTGTAGTTATCTAAAGGAGCATTGCCTCATTAGCTGGCAGATTTATGTTTGCTGAAGCAATCTATGAGCCACGTATGGCTCACCTCCAGGGCTGAGTTCAGCTGCGTATCAATGGGTAGTGCTGGCAGTTGGCTGCCCAAAGCATCCGTTTTCTCATGCATGAAAGAGCAGAATTCAGTCCTGGATACTCTTTGATTATTCTCAAGAATGGACTACCTTTTAAAAATAATTACAGATTTTGGCATTTCCACTTCTGACATCAAATGAGGGCTGCCTCTAGGAGGCCTACCTTTTAGAAAGCATGAGGACCTTTGAGCAAAAATAAGACATTTTTAGATATCTCTTAACAAGCACAAAAGGTGAGGCCAAAATCACCACTCAGTTTTGATATTCATAGGCACATGCATTTTTCATTTTTAGTTTTAGTTTTTAAGTTCATGATAATTTTCCTCATTTTTGTTAACTCATCAGGGATTTGTCTATTTTCTGTTTTCATTTTAAATGCTAGCTTTCTTTTCTTTGTTTCATACATCCTACTGACAGAGCATAGAAATCAAGTCAGATAAGGGAGTGTATTTCCTTTCTGAATAGGTGTATTTCCTTTTCTCACTGCAGCAAACTGCTGTTTCACACATGACAAGAGGATTCCGTTCAGGGCAGAATCATACTTAACCATTAAGAAACAGCTTGTACAAATAAGAACCAGGAGTGAAACCACTGTCTGATGAATTTTCCTGTGAGGAGGTTATGTCATTGTGTGACCCTGGATGATTAACTTTACATTGCAGTGTATATACTTCCTTCTCCATTCGTTCTCCTGTCTTACCTACTTCAGTGTATTCAGGGCTAGAACTGTTTCTCGTTGTATGTACATTTAGCAACTAGTACAACATATATTGCCACATTGCAAAATCCATGTATGAATAGCACTACATAGCTAAGATTGCACCTTGTGCTACACGCATTGGGTCACGGAATGATAGACACGCATGATAACAAGCCACAGACCCATGGAGTCCCCTGTCTCCCCATGGAGGCATTTGCTGTGGGTCGGCAGGTGCAAATATGACCCGGTGGTTATGTAACTGAGACACGCCTCTGGGATGGTGGGGCAAATGCCAGGGACACACAAGTTTGGGGGTGATGTGAAGAGCACATTGAGTCATTTGATGGGGACGGGGTGTCTCCTGTAGTCAGGGAGTGTGAAGCAGGAGCAAAATGGTGGTATTTCATGTTGATTGCCATGAGGCTTGGCCAGCTCTGCAGGTCTGTTGGCTGCATCCACACTGGCTCAAGGCCTAATTTGTTTACTGCGCTTGCAAGATCACCTCTGGAGGAGAGTTCCCCAGAAAACCATGTGCCTGCTTAAATGCTACGCTATGAGCCCAGGGATGCCAGGGCTGGACTGTCTCACTCCGTCTGGTCCATTTGCCATGCAATGACCATGTGATCGATCTGAGACAGGCAGGATGGCCTGTGAAGGATCCTTTCCAGGAAGGCCCTGATGTTGTCCATTGCAAGGGGAGGTGATATTTGGAGAGAGCCTGAACTTTGACCAACACTGTAGATGCCACATGTCATATCTTTGTACTACCTCAGACTCCAGCCACTGTGGCCTGTACAGCTCAGGTTTACTGTAAACGCAGCCCTTCAATCTGTTCATACAGTCTAAACCTTGAGAAAAATCCATGTAACCCCAACTGGAGTCTTGATCCTCTGCTCTCACCCATGGCCATGGCTGCAAGGATCTATCTAGTCACATGAACAAGGCATTCATTCGCTGTGGGGTTCTATTTCCTAGTGAGAAACACAGGCTGTTGGGGATGTATTTTCTAGCAAAGCCACTGCAGCCTAAGGCAAGCAGCGATGTCTCACGCTGCCTTGCCCAGATCCTACTTTCCTCTGCACACTTTCCCTCCCAGTATGCTGGACAGAGAGCTAGTCACACAGACACACACGCTGCATGGCCCATCGTGTCTCTGCTGTTGAGTGAAACACATTTTCTCCAAGGAAAGGAACAAAGAAAAAAGGATTGATCTTAAAAAAAAAAAAATCCACTCACACACACAGAAAGGGGAAAAAGAAGAGGGCAAAATTTTTCCTTACAGTCGGTTGTGATTTCATAGGGGGAGTTGAGGCGTGCATCTCCGCAGGGTGAAGTGCTCACATACAGATGGAACAGGATGTTCTCGCGCAGCCTGTAGCCTCCCTCTTTTAATCGCACGAAGATTGATCGCTCCCAGTCTTCTTGCCGTTTGCTATGATCACAAAAGAGGTTCCAGGTCATTTGTTACATGCCAAATCAGAAGCATTTCTGCTCTGTGTCTGTGTTTTCCTCCCTGTGTTTGTTTGTTTTTATTAGCACCTGGCATCATATATTGTGCCTACTGACAACAAGAGAAAAATAATAAGCTTCTTCAAGTGAAGAAATGTTTGAAGGAGGTCAGATCTGTCAATATGCTTTTGGCTTGCTTACCTGGAATATATTCTAACAATAGTGTGTGTGGTTATTTGAAGGATAACTCTTCTTCTACACAGGTACAGACGCGTGAACATATTGATTTTGAAGTGGTTCTGGTGCATGAAGAAAAGAAAAGTTCTTTTTGGCTCTCTTGGGAGAAAATCAGCTCTGCTTATCAAAGTGCCCAGGCAGATGTTTAAATCCCATTAACGTTGCTGTGACGGAGATGTGTTTTTATATGTGTTTGTGTGTGTTATTTTATGACCCTTGTCAACCCTCCCCTTGCCCCCGGCAGACTCGGCCAAAAATGAGCATTGCTTTTCTTCCCGTTCAACCACAGCCACCTATGGGAGCGCCAGCCAACAGCTAGCAGGGTCTTCTGGGTCACTCGGCGTTTCTGGAAGCCAGAAGCCATCCTGAAAAGTGAGGGCGAAACTTGCACAGGCTTTTCTCAGCTGAGTTGAAAAAGAGACTTATTAAGATGAAGCAATTGTTCAGCAGCTAGATGGGGACACAGCGCACATGTTCCATTAGCAACAGCTGCCCGGGAGGCCAAATCCCTCCCAGTCCTGCCGTTTACAGCAAGAGCTGGCATTACGACTATGCTGTGGTACAGTTTCTCTGATGATTTACATTTGTGAAGACATGGGTGATTTCTCTAACAGACAGCTGCCTCTAATACGTATAGTTGGGTGATGGTCATGATCATAATTTTGAGGGTGAAAATGCGATTAGTGAAATTATAATTTTGAGACTCCTTTCCCTCTAATGCCCTGGTCTTTCCGTCAAAAAGTCAAGAGTCTTTTTATAGGAATGCCTCTGATCAGAAGGGCATCCGCAGGTAATGATTTTCCAAGGAGCCTCTTAATAAGCCAGAATTTTACTCACTGCAGGGCAGCCTATTTACTGAAGCAATTTCTGCTGGTTTCTCTGCCTCCTGTGAAAACAGGGGGGCTTTCCACCCAACCTCCAAGCAACTCCTTGGATTTAATCCAAGCTGCCTCTGCCTGTTTTTCCCTGGTGCAGCCTCTGTGCTATTGAAGCTGTTTGGCTGTCACTCTTGCATGGTTTGGGTGTTTTGTCATTGTTTGATGCTGGGACGTGTTTGCTGTCAGGTGGAATTTACAGGCACATTTCCTCACCTGTCAGGAACGGTGAGCCACACTGGCTTCCCGAGCACAGGCTGCCACATGCAGCTCCTTCATTTTTCTACTGGCCGTGGTGGAATTTCCCAACTGCACTAATTATATTATCGCCCTGATACAAGCCTCTGAAAAAATAAAATACCTGTAAGCCCTGCTGCTCGGACTTTAGAGCAATTGCAGTTGCTTTTAAATAATTCACTGCAAAATCAGCCGGGAGACTACAAAGCTGTGCAGTCCTAATGCCTGCTATTACTCTGCTAAACCTTATTAAAGTGGGGGGCAGCTTGCACTGCTTAGAAACAGTTGCTAGGTAGGGTTGGAGCAGTCGTTCAGTGGGCTGGATTACAGGAGTTCACAGTAATCAGCACCCATTCTGTTTTTACTAGTTATTTTTTTTCACCGATTAATCTTGCTGTCTTCCTACTCCATATGTACTGGGAATCTGCAGCCAATGCGACTGATGGTTTGAGTGATGGACAGCTGCTCTCAAAATAGATGGCAGGGCTATAGGGCAAGGCAGCTTGGCTCTTCCTCCAGGAGGCTGAGCTTGTCTTTATCCCATATGCTCCTGACTTGCCTTTGGGATGGCTTTCTGGGGATTTTCAAACGTAAGATTTGTGCCTGCACAGTGGCTGAATGGATTTAATTATGACACTCTGAAGTTGTTGCTATAAATGAGTTTTGGATGCAGTAGCGTCTATTGCAGGGTTTGCAGGAGGTCTGGAGTGTGGGAGGCCTGGGGAATTCCTATGTCTCCAAGGGTGATGCAGTAACCTTGTAAAAATGGGTCAGGAGGAGCGTAAGATGCACTTTTTCAAAGGCACTTCTCCCCCAGACTTTCCTCCTGCCTTCTCAAATGGATAGTCATTTTGAGCTGTGATGGGGGAAATGAGTTTGCAGTAGCAGTAGCTTGCAATGCTGCTTTGCACTGTCATACCCGACTGCACAAAGCAATGAGGAGAGAAGCCCATAGCGAGCCCACAAATGTCATGCATTCAGCAGGTGGCATTAGTGTGTCAGTTCAACATGCTGATGGTGGCTAAGAGAGGCAGAATTTGTCCCTAACTTTTGCCCCTTATGTATTTTCTATCCCATTTCAGGTAGTATTTGACAAATGATTACAGGCTTCAACATGAATAAGAGAGGAAACTGCAGGTTAGAAGAAGTTAGAATTTCAGCAGGACAGTTAGGAATGCAGGCTGATTCAAGAGGCTGATTTAAGAATGTGCTTAACTTTAATCTTGTGCCTGAGTTCATCATTATTTATCATAACACATGCGTATGCTTTGAGTTGACTTTGAGAGGATCTAAGTATGTACTTATGGCTTAATATATGTGAAGTGTTTTGCTGAAATAAGGCCTTATGCTCTAGAAGAGAAGTAGAGGAGCTATTTTTAGCATGTAAATGTAGGTATGGGAAGCTTCTAGTAATACATACATGTCTGCTGTACAGCATGGCATCCTAGAGAAACTCTAACAGCAAACTTACTTAAAAGGGAAGTCCGTTAAGAAACTACAAGGACAGAAGCAAGAATTAGTTGATGTACAACAAGAAGCTGTCTTAACTGGAGCAAATTTGACTGAAGTGGATGAAGAGTATCCAGTGCTTTTTTATGCACAAAATCAACAGTGGGTTGCATCTGGCTCCCTGGAAGAACTTAGTTTCTGGTAAAAGTCATCCCTGTGGAACCTACAGGGTCATTACTGTGGTGAGATAACTATGCTGCTGATTTATTTTAACAATAGGCTATTAGTTTTAGTTTTCTTAAAAAATAGAAAGAAAAGAAAAGAATTGAGTCTTTGTTTTTTCTCTATAGATCAGTCAGTATAAGTAATCTCACTGAAGTCAATAAAAATTTTACTGCCATCATTGCAAGAGGAATCAGATTATAATTTTTGTGTACCTTTTCATTGAGGTTTATAAAAAAAAACTTCTCAGAAGGTCTTTCTCTTCCTTCTTTTGTACATTAGAAAATTTGGGTCTTGCTTTTCGTCTTTTTCGTGAAAGTCTTGAAAATTAGAGGATTATAGTTGTCATAAAAATGAAATCCGGGAGGAGTAAGGGTTTTAATCAGACTAGTTAGAAGACCATAAGGCTTTAGCTGTGTTTTTTAGCTTTTGTTTAACTCAAACTCAAGACAATGAATTGTTGAAAGAAAGTTTCCTTTTGAAGTATTTGTCACTCCTACTTCTTAGGGAGGATAGAGTTCCCATTCTGGAACTCTCTTTCCCAAGAAAAGTCCGTAGAACTACACCTCAAATGTTTAGAAATATGAAAAGAGGGAAAAAAAATGCAATTTAAATATTGCTGTAACTTTGACTCGTGGATAAGATTATCTGCCCTGAGCCTTCTACAGTTCAAGTATCTGAAGGAGTCACCCTATGCCATCTCTATAGCAGTGGAAAAAAATTGGCCCCAGTATAAGGCAATACATCTTTACAATAGATATCTAAAACAGGTCTGACGAATCATGCTCCGGAGACGCCCATTTCTCTGCACTAATGGGCTCTAGGGGATCTAGTCCACACTTGACTGACTGATTTTTAGACTTATCAAGCGAGGTGTCAAGAGGTAAATTCCAGTCAGCATCTCCCCTCACCGTTCATTCTACATCCCGGCTTTCTCCTGCCTCCTTGTCCCTGCTCTTTGAAAGCCCTCATGCTACATTCAGATGCTTTCCTTTCACTGAAGTCAATGACGGTATTTACAAATCCTGGAGAAGGGTTTCCTTTACAAGGAAAACAATATATTGAAAAAAAAAATTGATATTGGAAATTGCTAAAGTTTGAGATCAATTTGAGTAGGTAGACTAGATGGGAGGAAGATGTGTGAGAAGTAGGGAATAGTCTCCACAGAACTGACTTGCCTGTTCCATGGGGAAGGATGGAGAATTTGAGCTCTTTGAGGCAAGAACTATATCTTCACTCTTTTTTGGGGTTCAGGAACCATCTTTTTGATCTCAGTTCATATACCACTTTGTACAACAGGCTCCCGGCCCATGAGAGGACTTTAATTTGGACGAGATTAATGCAAACGCATAACAACACAGATGCCATCTTTGTCTTTTCCCTAAGCCTGAGGAACTGGTGGCCAGTGAGTTTCGCTGATTTCACCTGCCTGTCCTACAAACCTGTCCTTTTAGCTATGCAGTAGCATCATGTGGTTTCTCTTTCAGTTGGAGTTATCGCTCTTTTTCTAGAAAAAAAGGGGCAAGTGTGGCTTTAATATGCAGAAAATGTGATTTACATTTCTTTTGAACACTCCGATTTTCTTACGATATGCTAAAGTTCCTAAATTAGTACTGGTAATGAAGACTAGGTTGTAACTCACTGTTTTGCTTCTGCATAGGCTTCAAGGAAGCAAAATATGGTTTGAAAACATTTGCAGTTTTGTCTTTCAAAGGTGCTTAGCCTTGACAATTTTGGCTGAGATTTTTATCATGTGCGCAGGTTAGAGAAGCTGTGGTGGCTGTTCTTGACTGAACAGAGAGAGATTTGAAGCTATTGTGAACAGAGTTCCTGCTGCACTGAGGATTCTCTTAACAAAAGGTTGTTAACATTGATCCAAATAACATAATAATATGACTGAACATGTTAGGGAGGTGGATCAATACAGTAGTTCAAGATACAGTGGTAGCAGTTCTATCCCAAGAGACTATAGCACAAAGCAAGTACTGGGGTTGCTAACTGTTGAAAACACAGTAATTTAATGTAAACTTGAAAGCAATACAGATTGAAATAGAGAGACTACTGTCTTTGATTAAACCCTTTAAGGCTCTTGTTCCCCTTTGTTAGCCAAGCTCATCTACTCAATAAACGTTCTTGTCTTCCTCCCTGGCCAGAAGTAAAAATAACCGTCACTCCTTTTACTCCCGCTTCAGTGACGACAATATCATAGCTGATCACAAGAACACACAATCCTGCTCAGAAATCCTGTGTCTGTGACCTGATGCAAAACCTGCTGGAATCAAAGGGAATTTTTGCCTAGAGGTTACTGGTCTTTTTAGACAAAGCCCCATGAAAAAGCAGGCAAAAACAAAGGGCAGAGGAATGGCTTTTTATTTATTTTCTTTTCTTCCTTCTTTCCTTCCTTACTTGCTTCCTTCCATATAATGGAACAAATGCCACCTCAACTTCACTTTTACTTGTCTAGGAGCAAAGGATAATTCAGGTTGGAAGGGACCTCAGCAGGTCTCTAGCTCAACCTCCTGCTCAGAGCAGGGTGAGCTATGAGATAAGACCAGTCTGCTCCAGGCTTTGTCCAGCTGGGCCATGAAAACCTCCAGGGCTGGAGACTGCACAAGTTCTCTGGGCAACCGCCTCCACTGCCTGACTGTCCTCATGGGAAAACAAGTTTTATATCCAGACTGAGTCTCTCCTTTTTCAACTTGAGTCTGTTGTCTCTCATCCTCCCACCATGCACTGCTGTGCAGAGCCCAGCTCCATCTTCTTGATGACCTCCCTGTAGGTACCAGGGGGCTGTTGTTGGGTTCCCCTGCAGCTGTCCCTTCTCCAGGCTGAACAAGCCCAGCTCCCACAGCCTCTGCACAGGGCAAGTGCTCCAGCCCTCGAGCATCTTAATCATCTCCACTGAACTTATTCCTGTACTGAGGCCCAAGGGTGAATGCAGTAGGTGGAGGTGGCCTAACGAGTGCTGAGTAGAAGGGGACAATCACTTCCCTAGATCAGCTATTTGTAGAGCCCAGGATGCTATTGGCCCTCTTTGCTGCTAGGACATGCTGCTGGTTCACATTCAGTTTGCTGTCAGCCAAAACCCCCAAGTCCTTTTCAGCAGAGATGCTTCCCAGCTAGTCAAATCCCAGTCTGTGTTGTTGCAGGTGGTTCTTTTCTTCCAGGTGCAGGACTTTGCATTTCTCCTTGTTAAATTTCCATAAAATTCCTGTTGGTCCAGTCCTCCAGCCTGTCTAGGTCCTTCTGGACCTCCATGTCCTTAAGCATGTCCGCTGTTCCCCCCAGTTTGGTGTCATCTACAAAGTGTATGAGCAAGCACCCTATAACCTTTCCCATATAATTGATAGAGATGTTAAACAGAATAGGTCCCAGGATAGACTACCCGTGCTGTACCCCACTTGTTACTGGCCTCCGGGTAGAATAAGGCCCATTAACCATTTAAATGGATAAATGGCTAACCATTTAAGAGGTAACAAGGTGGGTTTGGCTGAAGACAAAAACAATAATACTCACCAGATTTCTCTGTAATAACTCTACATGCTCTAATATTTTAAAATATCATAAAGTAGGAGTGATAGCATCTTGTGCTTTGGTACCAAGTTTACCGATTGTTAACACTCATTGGCTCTCTAGTGAGTCAATGAAGGCATTAATGATCAATATATCACTTCCTTGAGATATTTCAGCAACAGCAAGGAAGATAGGAAAATGTCTGCAGTGAGCAAAATGACCCTCATCCAGGCTCTGACCAGTGAGTGGTATTAATAAGCCTGCACGTAAAGATTTGTACAAAACCATCAGGCTTCATAAAACCCAACTTTATGACTCATATCTAATAGCTACTGAAAGAAAATCAGCTGAAGTAAAGGAGCTCATGACCCAACACTCCAGATTATCTAACTTGTCTTTTCTTCTGTACAGTTTATCGGTCATTCATCAGCCACAGACTCAGAAACAACAACATAAAGAAACTAATAGTTCAGATGTCTGGAGGATGGATCTGTTCAACAAAGACCATATAACATTCCTGAAGCATTAATAGAATTCAGTTACCTTAAGTGGAGCTCCAGCTGTGAGTAAAGGAAGTGAAGAAATGCTCTCCTTGCCACAATTTCTGCATGACAGTCATTGACCGCAAGCCCTTGGTCATTAAGGTATTCTCCATTTATACATTTGGTACCCGATGACAGCACAATAACCTGAGCTTGCCTGATGTCCAAACCTGTAGAAAGAAAAACAAAAGGATTGTGAAGTTACTTACTGTGGGTGAGTATGATATCACAATTGTTAAAAGTTCTTGCAGCCCACACTTTAATGTGGCAGCTGAGACAGCCCTAATGGGATGCTTGTAAAGATGATGATATGGCCTTTGGAATATGCAGGAATATCACATCTCTGCGTTATTTGAATAATAAGGGACCTATTTCAGCCTTGCTGCTAATTCCAAGATAAAAGCTCGCCATGAAGTTTACTTATTAAATCAATAAGTACATCATACGAAAGCACATGCTATAGGAAGATAATAAAGAACTCCTGCAGTGCTGATAAATGGCCTGTTTTTTATGAGCTGTTGAAGACATTTTCTGGTGGGAACACACTCCCTGTAATGCTAGTTTTCATTGCTGTTGCACTAGTGTTAAATAAAATGCAAGTAACAGTTTTGGAGCTGCTCTTTAAAAATTTCAGAGAACAAAGAGATCTGACTTTCAGCCCAGGCTTCTCTTCTGTTTCCCCAAAAGCAGCTACATCAGTGCTCTTCCATTGTGCCCCCAGGGATGGAGCATTCCTTGCTGAGACCGTCTCTGTCCGTCTGCCACCTCTCCAGATTAAAAGGGATGGCAACTGAAGGACGTGCCTTTCTTGTTCCAAATAGAAACTTTATAGGATTAAATCCTGATTTATTTGGAGTCAATAACAAAATGCTCACAGGCTTCAACAGGACCTAGGTTTCACTCCAGAATATAGTTCATTCATCCCTGAGGACAGTTTCAAAGAAGAATTCAGAATGAACTGAGCTAAAACTGAAATAAGCTATTGAACAGCACATTTCAGGATACAGCTCTCTGAATAACAAAGAACAAAGAAGCAACTCTTGGAATAAAGGACTGTTCTGGCTGATAGGTGCTACATCTGGAGGTGACAAGAAGCGCTTAAAAGCGTCAAACTCTGTTTGACAGCTACACACAATTAGTGTGGGTAGGCAAACACGTGCAGCATAGCAAGTCACACTGCTAGGGCACCGTTTGGTTGTGCTCATGAGGTCCTTGGTGCCATTCGAGATGCCCTCAGTGTTCTGTGTAACCTCCAGCTCCTGGTGCAGGAAGGCTCGGGTGTCTGGGACGTTCTGCACTATCTCCATCCATCCCTCATGGAAGTGCGCACCCTAGGGTGACTCAGTGGAAATAGATGCCTACATTCAGGCAACTGAATCAAGCCTTCAAAGTCTGATGAATCAGTGATTAAGACAGGCCTGAGGCTGCAAGTGCTCACAATAATCTTACCGGAGGCCAAATATTTCTGATTTTAACACATTTTACTGGGGAATGCACACTGAATCTGCACACACATTTACTTTGTTCTTATTTCTGTGATTTTATTTTAGCTGGAAAAAGCCTCTGAAATTTATTTTATAGTCATCAACCTTTTTTTATGTTGAAGTCTATTGAGTGGCAGAAAAAACATGAAATTGCAGAGACTTTTCTGATTTGGAAGCACCATGCTTGGACCCATAAGACCTATAGGCTGGATATGAAAAAAGAGCAGAAAGAAGAGGGGAAGAATACTTTAAAAATAAAGCCCTGGTGCTACTGGTGATGTCCCAGTTTGTAAATTAGGACTCATAATACTTCACAGTCCCCTCGCAGTACTGGGACTAGTGGTGGATGACAGACTACAGCAGTATTGCCATGCTTAATGTATACAATGTCAAATGATACCAAAATTATCTTGTGCCTTTCTGAGTATGATAGCTACTTCAGTAGTCCAAAAACTTTACTAGCATTGCAACTTTGCAGTACTGTGGCGTTAGTGCAGGAGATATCAATATTGTGAAAAATTCAATTAATGACACCTAGTCTCCTGGTCATGACAGACCATGACTAGAAAACCAGAGAGGTGAAGATGCTGGAGCATGTGGGAGAATGCAGAGGAGAAATGGAATTAAAAAGTGTTTGTGTTTATTCTAGTTTTGTTACTGTTGTTGAGAAAAATGTTTGAGGTAAAATGTCCTAAAATACTGGACTGGTCTTACTTTTCCTCCCCCCCCCCCCCCCCCCCCCCCGAAATAAAGGTATTTATACTCTGAATTGATGTACCGTCACTCTGCTTTAGGGGCATTGCTGTTTTGACAAAGGCAGTTGGTGTCTTAGGTCAGATTGATGTTCATTTAGGTGACTCTGTTGTTTGCATTGGCTAGTACCAAACATTTCATGAGGCTTTGCAAGTAGCAGAGGTATTTATGTCCCACCGAGCATCTCAAAAAGTAGCTTATGCTTGTCTAACTACTCAACATATGGTACTTTCCTTGGCTGGAAGGTTCATGATAAGAATCAGATTTTTTTGGTGCAATTTTATTTATTTACAAAGAAAGTACACAGAGTTTTATTTTCCTCAACATAGTAGAAATAAAATAGCAACAGGCAGTTCCCTACTTCAGAAATCCACAAGCCTTTTTTCCAGCCAGCCCTGCGCCTGAGGAGCTCTGTCAATACTTCTTCTCAGGGCAGTGACACCAGCTGCTTCTTCCTCTTTTTATCCTGACGTTCTGCTTCTTTTACCTTCTGAAGTATGCCCTAATGTGCCTCCCCATCTCTCCCTTCACCTTGCAATCAATGCACCGGGCTTTGCAAATACAGAGAAAATCATCTTGGGAAGCCATCTTGTTCTCCAGGAGGTATAATTTCTTCATCCCCTCCCAATCAATGCAAAACTTTGTGTGATTCCTTTTTTTATTTCCAACATTTTACCTATAAATGAGCTTAACTCCCTTCTAGCATGAGGGTAAGATCATTAACATGCCCAGCATTTTGTATGAGGTCTAGATTTGTTCACAAATCAAAGGCAGTTTTACAAAGACACCCAATACCTATCAATGCAGCAATAATATGAATGCTTCTGATGTTGTTTGCTATTATAATGTCCACCCACACAATAATAGCAAGCTTGCTTTGGATGTTCATTTTTGGGTGAACTAACCCCATGTATCAGCTGTCAGTGACAGGGTGCCCCTGTAAAGTTATCACATGCTGACACAGACTAATGTGTCTGTCAGTCCTGGTGGGGTACATGTGTTTGCTGAACATCACATCAGTATTTCCTGGAGTGCAGACGACGGTTTCCATGAATCCAGACAACCAGTCTGTGTGCTAGACACTAAATGTCTCCAAGTATCTCCCACTCGCAGAGACAGAAAATAACCCATGTTCCTCCATGCTCAGAAATATCAAGAGTTATGTCTCACTACCAAAGCGCTCAGAGACACCCAGGTGTACAAGGCTTACACATTAGCTCTGAAATATTTACACCTCCCTGGGGAGCCAAATGGGGAAAGCAATCTGTGACCAACGTACCACAATTTAATACTGCTTGTGAGGGCACCTTGCATGATGAGAAATACTTCCAACAACCTGACAGCTGCCCTGTGTGTTCAGGAGCATATATGCTAACACATAATTCTTTTGCAGGCCTTATTTTGTACATACATGGAGTTTTATTCCCTCTGAAATGCTTGATATTACTTCCCATGAATATAAGAAGAACTAGTTTGTGAGAATAAGACAAGCGATGCCCAGCTGGTGAAGGCAAATTTTACCAGTCACTGATCACACTGGCATTTTATGCAGCGTTTCCAGTCCTTAAGCCTAGATGCTTGCTACTAGTCATTCACTGTTGATAGGCACTTCTGTACATTTGTCCATTTTGCATAGGAAACAATCATTAGTAAGTGTTGTTATTAATATTTATTGACTGCTTTATGTTGCCTGTAGAATACTTTATGTTTCTCAAGTGATTTCTAGTTAGGAATGTTGGACCACCTCCTAAAGATTGATTAACTTAACCTCAAAACATGTGGCAGATCTAGAGCTAGCACACCATCACATTATGCTTGGGAAAGCAGAGGCATTGAGCGTGGCAAAATCCGTATGTAGCACTAACCTGGCACCACCAGCTGTATGCCACCTTCCTGGCTCTGGGGTTTAAAGCAGGATATAATCCTAGGCTCTTAACATGACCCACATTCTTCCTGAGGGGAACCCATCTCAGATTAAAGACCCAGGGATCTAACTCTTTGTTCGGGTCATTTGACAAACAAGAAGAAATGGGCTACATTATTATGACCTTAACTCCTGACCCATTGATTCTCAGAGCTCATGAAGCATTTCTTTCCCTCACTGCCTTGTGCGAAGTAACGTTTGAGGAGACATTAGGTTAACAGTAACTAGAGAACGATTTATAACAGGCACCTGCATTAGGTTTCTATTATTTGCCTAAAGACTCCTAATAGTTTTCAATTTGAAAAGGAAATGGAGCAGGGGAAAGGAAATTGGGGAGCTGTGTCAGCACGCAGGCTGGATACTGGCTGATGCTCTGTTCACAGGGACAGCTGGGAGAGCAGCGATGGAATTTGCAACATTTTATTTGCAGAAATTATGCCAATTCATTAGCTACATTACAGAACAAAAATATATTTATAAATGACTCACTCACTTCGATCACAGATTCAGTCTAATGATCTGGCAAGGTAATGAGTCTTTCTCCTACTCTGCTGAAAACTTGAACCCCTCCGGGGCTCTGGCGTGCAGGGTTTTCTCTCGCAGTGAGAGCAGTGTGGAGGGAACCTTGACCCTGACAATGTTCATTTTTTATTTTTGTCATTGATAGTCCAGACTTTCCTGTCATAGTTGAGCAGCTGAAGAGAAAATGGGTTTTATTAGGGCCATTTTCAGTTTGCTGACACCAGCGGTGGGATTCATCTCAGCTCATTTTGAATAACAAGAGTTTAGATGTCTGTGGCAGAGCTAATTGCTACAGACTCCCTTTATAGTCAATGGAGAGAAACTTTCCTGGGAGGTGATTCATCCGGCCTGTTTTAGCTTTTTGCTTTTGAATAGCCTGAACTACACCTCAAAAGTGCCGATTTCTCTTCACGAAGAAGACCTGCAGCTGACTAGCGGCAGGGTAGTTTTCTAGTTCTAGTTGTACTATAGACAACCACTTGTGATA